AGGAGGAGGAGGAGGAGGAGGAGGAGGAGTGGCAGCACGTTCTGGAGGAAGCTGGAGGATGGAAATGAAAGCTGGGGGTTATTCAGGGCATCTCTTCCTGCAGATCTTTGGTGTGGAGATGTCCCGGGAGCCACAAGATGAGCCCAAACACCTCAAACCTACTCAAGCGCTGAGCTCAGGACTCCAAACTCAAGGAGATGGCAATGCCAGGTGGACAAAGCCATGGAATTCCAGTGGATGAAGCACATGTGGGACAGGACACGACACAGGCAGTAGGAAGGGACAATGTCTCACCTGTGCCCGGACCAGCGACTCGAAGCTGGGTTTGAAGTAATCGATGCGGCTGCTGTAGAACTTGGGCATCTCCTCCAGGAGCTGCTTGTTCTTGGCTTCAAAGTCCTCCTTGACCGGGCGCAGCTCCTCGCGGGCCTGGGGAGGGACACAGGGGGTCACACTCCTGGGACAAGGGTCCCCCTGGCATGGAGGCCACTCCAGGACAATGGGACTCTTTGCTTGGTTGTGGGGACGAGCAGTGACCAGCCTGGTGGGACCCATGGGATCATCCAATGGAATCTGGTGGGATCCATGAGACCACTCAATGGTGGAACTCAAGTGACCATCCAGTGGGACCTGGTGGGATCCAAGGGACCATTCAATGGAACCTGATGGGACCCAAGTGACCATTCAGTGGACCCTGGTGGGATCCAAGTAATCATCAAATGGGATCTGGTGGGATCCAAGAGACCATTCAATGGATCCTGGTGGGACTCAAGTGACCATTCAATGGACTCTGGTGAGATCCAAGGGACCATTCAATGGACCCTGGTGAGACTCAAGTGACCATTCAATGGACCCTGGTGGGACTCAAGTGACCATTCAATGGACCCTGGTGAGATGCAAGAGACCGTTCAATGGACCCTGGTAGGACTCAAGTGACCAGTTAACAGAACCTGGTGGGACTCAAGTGACCATTCAGTGGACCCTGCTGGGATCTAAGAGACCATGCAGTGGACCCTGGTGGGATCCAAGTTAATCAGTTAATCCAAGCTGACCAGTTAATAGAACCTGGTGGGACCCAAGTGACCTCTCAACAAAACCTGGTGAGGCCCAAGTGAGCAGCTGATGGATCCTGATGGGACTATCCAATGGTCCCATGCTCTGACCCTGGAAAGCCACAGGACACCCAGACAGATTGTGCCCTCTCTCCTACAGAAACACACGGCCCAAACCCATTCCCCGAGCTCAGTCAGGCTGGAGAACGTCCCTGGCCAAATCCACGTCCCCTCACGCTGCGATTCCCAGGAGCGGCGCTCCAGGATCCTGCCCCACCGTCACCGTGACCTTCAGCTCAGTGCTTCCAACTGGCTCCTTTAAACAGAGCGTGGGGAGAACGGGAAATGTCTCTGGGATGGTGTGGAAAAGGGCAGGAGGGGGTGGGCTGTGAAATATTAGACCAGTTCAAGTCTGCCACTTAATCCCAGTGCCATTCCAACGGGAGGGGGGAGCGGGAGAGCCCGGCCCGGCCGTGGCGCCGGCCCTGGGGACAGGGCCAGCAGGACCCTGCGGTGGCTGCGGGAATTGTGGTTATTCCGGGCTGGAACAGGGAGCCCCGCGCCCGATTGCTAAGGGAACAGCAGGAACAGCATCCCCAGCACCCACCCTGCGGCGCAGGGAGCATCGGCACCATCTGCTAGGTGAATCAGCCTGCAGACANGGGTGCCCAGCCCTGACTGTGGGACCCCCAAGTGTGGGACCCTCAGTGCTGAGGGATCCCCAGCCCTGCCTGTGGGACCCCCAAATGCTGCTTGGGGCACTCGTGGTGCTGCGGGAAGCCCAGTGCTGCCAGCGAGACCCCCAGAACCACAGAACCTCTGGCTCCTTGCATTGCAGGACCCCCGGGTGCCACAGGGCCCTCAGAGCCTCCTGTGGGACCCCGGGCCCTGTCCTGGGTGTGCCCCCACAGCCCTCAGGGAGGGATTGGGGCACGCAGCCCCCCAGGCTGGGCAGTGCCAGCGCTGTCCCCGTTTCCCACAAGGGCCCGGCATCTCCAGCAGCCCCGGTGCTGAGACATGCACGGTCTCCATGGAGACAGCTCCCCTAATCCTGCTCAGAACGATGCTGATTTTGGGAGGCCTGAGGGGGTCTGGTGGAGCCCCACATTGCAGTGCTGGCTGCCTGAACCCCCCTTAGGCAGCCTGGCCATGCTGGGGGCTCGGGGGCTGCGCCGTGGCCGGGGCTCCCCACGCAGCAGGGCTGGCTGAGTCACAGCAATGCTCATTTACACAGTGACTAACGAACCCCACACAGGGCTGAGCTGGCAGGGGCTCCCCAAAAATCCCTGCACGCCCCCCAAAGCACAACCCACAGCTGGGTCACCCCGAGCATCCTCTGAACCCCCCTGCATGAAGAGATGCCAAAAACACCTGAAATCCTTCAGCAATGCCACAGGTGGGCAGGGATCTGGGGGGCAGGGGTGCCAAGGGGGTGCCAGAGCCCTGGAGCAGCCCTCCATGTCCCTTGTCCCCAGCCTGCAGTCAGCTGGGCTCTGCTCAGGCACATATGGCCAAGTGGCACTGCCAATTCCAGCACGGAAAAAGCTGAATCTTGTCAGGGTGGCAGGCCTGCAGGCAGATGCTGCCCCCAGGATTGTCCCCAGGGCTGTTCCCCAAGATTTGGGGGACATCTGTCCCTCAGGATTGGTCCCAGGATTGTCCTCCAGGATTGCTCCCTAGGATTTGGGGACAATTGTACCCCAGCATTGGATCCAGAATTCCCTCCCCCACCAGGATCCAGAAATCCCTGAGGATTCCTGCAGGACCAGGATTGTGCCTTAGGATTTTCCTAAGGATTGAGCCCAGGATTATCTCAGGACTGAGCCCAGAATTGTCCCCAATGGATTGAGCCCAGAATTGTCCCCAGTGGACTGACCCCCAGGATTGTCCCCCAGGATTTTCCTCAGGACTGAGCCCAGGATTGTTCCCAACAGATTGACCCCTAGGATTGTCCCCCAGGATTGAGCCCAGGATTTTCCTCAGGATTGTCCCCCAGAATTGTCCCCAATGGATTGAGCCTGGGATTGTCCCCCAATGGATTGAGCCTGGGATTGTCCCCCAGGATTGTCCCCCAGGATTTTCCTCAGGATTGACCCCCAGGATTGTCCCCCAACATCCTCACTGCACTGAACAGGCAGAGCAGAGTGAACTTCTTGGTGCTGCTCCCCTTCCACCCACATCCCACAGCCACTGATCCCTTCCCCAGGGACCCTCTGTGTCCCCAGGGCCTGGTGGGTGTCCCTGGGGATGCCCCATGTCCCCAGAGCCTGGTGGGTGTCCTTGGGGACCCTCTGTGTCCCCAGGGCCTGGTGGGTGTCCTTGGGGATGCCCCATGTCCCCAGGGCCTGGTGGGTGTCCCTGGGGATGCCCCATGTCCCCAGGGCCTGGTGGGTGTCCCTGGGGACGCTCTGTGTCCCCAGAGCCTGGTGGGTGTCCCTGGGATGCTCCTCTCCCCCAGCAGCCCCAGTTCAGAACCAGTTGGCACCACCCAGTGCTTTACCAGCCGAGTCTCCCGAGCTTCATCAGCAAAATCCCACTGGCACTGATCCCCCTCGTGCTTTCTCTTGTTGAAACAGGGGTGAAAACCCCCCCAGGGAGGGGATGCACCCCAGAATGGTGACAGTGCCAGGGGGCAGCCAGCTCCCCCTGCCCTACCTGCTCTGCCAGCCCAGTACTTTTCCAGCTATGGATGCCATATGCTGTGTCCCCATCCCATCAAATCCCAGCTCCAGCTCGCCTTTGAGCCCGAGCCAAGGGCCCCGAGTCCACCTGTCTTGAACTAATTCTGTTTGGGGACGCTGTGTTCTGTGGATTTTCTATAGATCCTGGCCACAATGGCCCCGTGGCTGCTTGTAAGGGGCAGCCCTACCCAAAACAAACCCAGGGGTGCTGCCAGGGCCGGGCTCCCCCTGCCCACAGCACCATCCCTGCCTGCCAGCCCCATCTTTCCCCCCATTCCATTCAAACCCAAAGGAATCTCGTGTTTTCTAGCTGGAAAATAAAGCCCAGAGCGGGAAGGAAGTGCTGTTCACGCCTCACACCAGCCACAGCTCCAAAATCTCCCCCTTTCATCTCCATGTGGCCACTTCAAAGCCCCCAGCCAGGGAAATATTTGCCTCCCTTGGCTTGGCCCGGGCCCGTGGGTGGAGAGAAGAATTTGGTGTTGAATGTTACAGCCCTGCGAGCTCGGGACATGTCCCGGCGTCAGGAGCCACCCAGGCCCGGGAGCACAGCCAGCTGTGCCATGGGAACAGCCTGGGGAGGCTCTGGCAGGGTCTCTTTGGGTCACAGCCATGGAGGTGCTCGGCAGCAGGGTCCTTCCCCTGCCCCCAGAGGCAGCTGCTCCCTCCCCAGCCCAGCGTGGCACTGCATGGTGTCACTGTCACACCATTTGTCTTGCTGCCTCCAGGCCTGAAAAATCAGGAAAATAATGCGGTTTTTGCCTTTGGATGGTGGGTTTGACCCAAGGAGAAACAACCCCAAAGTCACGGCACCCTGCATCCCAGTCCCACCCCATGCAGCCTTTCCTTGTGGGATTCACCTCCAGCCTCATCCCACTCCTAAAGAGGTACCTGCAGAAAAGGCTGAAAATAGAAATTATCTCGAGGAACACGGCCACCCCTAGCTGTTAATCAGCTCAGGGAGGCACAGAGGGAGGGAAAGCTGAGCAATATTTCCAGCTGGGATGGGGATGCTCCTGCCTGCCCTTCCCAGCCAGGTGCCTGCAGGTGAGCAGTGCTGAGCTGACTCAGGGCTCTGGCTGCTATTCCTGGCTTGCCACTGACTCATTACCTTGGGCAAATCACATCCCTTTCCCACTCGATTTCAGTTAATTCAGTGGGAAAACGCTTCACAGAGCTCCGGAGCCAGGGGGGCACAAACATCCCAAGCCCTCCTTCCCTGGGGGTGGAAGGATGCAGCCAGGGCTGGGAAGGAAGAGGGATGCAGCTCCATGGAGGCTGGCAGGGAGGGAGGGAGGGAGGGAGGTTTGTGAGGAGCTGCATCCAGCTGGGACCAGCTTTAAGTCCAGCCTACGGGGGATGCATCAGCTTTGTTGTGACGCTGCCTTTTTGGGTGTTAAAGACGGGATTTCGCTCGGTTTTCCCGACAAATTCCTCACCTGAAGAGAGGCAGGGCAGAGAGAAAGCACAGGATTCCCAAGGAAGAAGAGGGATTTGGATGGAGAGTGTCACAAACAGCCCCAGCAGTGACACCCTGGCCATTCTGCACACAACTATCCCAGCGTCCTCCTCACCCCAAATTTCTTGGGAATTGGGACACAAACAGAGAGCAAGAAGCCAGAGTGGAAAAGCTGAGGAAACTCACGGATCACAAACCCCGGAGAGGGCAGAGAAGCTGAGGAAACTCACGGATCACAAACCCCGGAGAGGGCAGAGAAGCTGAGGAAATTCACAGATCACAAACCCCAAAAAGGGCAGAGAACATTCAGGTTCCAAGATCTCACCCACCGAGGGGGTCCACAGGGGGACAGGGCCAGCAGGACCCTGCGGCGGCTGCGGGAATTGTGGTTATTCCGGGCTGGAACAGGGAGCCCCGCGCCCGATTGCTAAGGGAACAGCAGGAACAGCATCCCCAGCACCCACCCTGCGGCGCAGGGAGCATCGGCACCATCTGCTAGGTGAATCAGCCTGCAGACAACTCGCTGGCAGCTCGGCGCAGAGGCCCCCCCAAGTCGGAGGTGAGATGGAACACGTGCTCCCGGCGCCTCCCCCCGTGGCGCACCTGGGGCCCTGCGGCAGCTCCCGGCCCCAAAAATGCCGCAGGAAACGCCCACGGAGCGGGCACCGCCCGGTGCCGCCCGCAG